AGATTAACGGTACCTATAATGGAATCAATGCCGAAGGGTTGCGATATCCATAGTACCGAGCCAAAGGGTTTACAACTCATGGTTTCTGGATACGTAAAAAAAAAAAAATAATGAAAACATACACTATTCTGTATTTCCCTTTTCTCTAAAAAAAAAAAATAAAGTCTATGCTTGCTATTCTTAGTTATACCCAAGAGCAAATGAGTTTAAATGTGAAATCTAGAAGACATGGAGATACTAGATGTGCACAGTGTTATGAGTCATATCACATTAACCTGACTATAATCTTCTTCTTCTTTCTTTCACTTGAAAAAGATTATCTATATCTGCAATGTTATCTTTAGTATGACCCTCACTTTGTTTTGTAATTCACTCAGCGACCCGTAAAGTTGGACTTGCACTGGTGTTTACCTGTGTAAAGTTTGGCCTTGATTTGTTGTATTTTTGACAGTTATGGAGGACATAATCTGTTGTCTCAGGTGTCAGTCCACATGTGCACAAGTCTGATTCGCCAGTTTTAAATTTTACCTGGCTAATAAATGGTGTCAAATATGTTTTAATGTGTTTTTTTGGTCATACATTTGATTTGTAGGGACAACAAGAAAATAAACTAACTTCGTCACTTTTTTTAGGAGGGTTATTTTAAAGCCCCACCTAAGCTAACCTTTGAGGCCCTAATATCTTCTTCTTCAGCGATCTCTGGTCATGCGCATAATCCACTGTGGGTCATAAACTGGGATGTCTTTTCAAGGTCTCTTAGGTTTCCCCAAAGCTTAGTTGTCAGTTCTACTGGGTGTTGCCATATGTCGCTCCGCAGCTCCGCCAGGAGAGGACAGTCTTGCAGGACATGTTCTGGAGTCTGTTCAGCACGAAGACACTGGCAGAGAGCTGTTTGGCTCATACCTAGTTTATATGAGTGTTTATTGAGTCTGCAGTGTCCAGTGCGTAAGCGAAATACTGTGACTTGGTCTGTTCTGTTCAAGTGCCTCAGAAAATCTTTTCCGTAGTTATAACCAGTGTTGTTTTTCCAATCTGTTTCTGATTTTCTCTTAATGAGAGTTTTGACTTCTGGAAAAGATATTGGCTGGTAGGTCTGTAGTTTGTTACTGCCTTCCTTGGCTAAAGCATCTGCGCTTTCATTGCCTTTGATGCCGCAGTGAGACGGAGTCCACTGCAAGTGAATTTCTGCCTTATTTGACAACATAGCAAGTTCCTGTGTTAGACTTTGTAGTGTGCTGTCGGTAGGTTTGGACTCAAGGGCCTGTACAGCTGACAGTGAGTCAGTGAGAAAAACTAGCCTGCCTGCGGTGATTTGCAGATTGTTCATATACTGTGCGAGGCCCTAATATAACCTCACAGTTGAACAGGCTTTCTAGGACTTGCATCTGGAAGATTCACATCTGTATGGTGGTACTTTGTGTCATCGGGTGTTAATCGCGCATTGTGCAGTTCTAGTGGGGTTCAGTGTCACTTACTTGACAACAAGAATAGACCAACTGCCTCTCCTAACAAGCATATTGTAGGAGTCCACTAATTTTGGGTCAGGAGTGCATCTGCCAAAGAAGCAAGGAATTAACCAACAGTCTGCATATGGCTAAGCCAGATCTGTAAAATGGATTTGCACGCAACACTCAAGTTCTGGAGTTGAGAGCCGGTATACGCAAAAAAGAAGAAGGTAAACTTGGCATTACGATAAATCTAAACTTATCTTTTGGGAAATCTATTGGTTGGTTTGCCCTGTTTTTGAATTTGTGTGTGTGTGCCTTTATCAGTGAATTGGACTCTTAGTGTTAGAAGGATCGACCTTATTGCACAGCGTTTCATCCCCATAAGACTTAGTCTCTCCCAGCACAGTTGTTTGCTGCCTTTCCAGTGAGCATTGCACAAAACTGAATTCTGTAGTATTCTCCTGGGGTTGAAGAAGTTAGTTGCCTATCCTTTTCAGGACTTTGCAGAATCAGCCAGAGCCATCCTTGGCTGTTTGTGACTAAAAAAAAAGCAATTTGTATATTTGATACTTTGCTGTTGCCCCCTGAATGGTTAGCTCTTGATACCATTGCTGAAACTAATGCAAGGTGGTCTGCTGCAAAATTGCCTGCAGCTAGGGTTGAATTCAGAATTACCAAAGAAAATTTGCAGTGCCAAAGCAATAGATGCTGACATTGTGGGTGATAGTAAACACAGGACAGATGCTGCAGTTGGTTACTCTTCATATTTTAGGCTCCTTTTTTTTCTGTCTTTTTTCTGGTTGTCTTAGTTTGGTACTCATTTTTGTTGCTTTCCTTTTGTTGTACTCTCTACGTTTTTTTTTTTTAGCTTATCTCACCATTTTTCACTTCTTTCTGTCTCTCTCTTCCCTCCTTCCTCCTTTCTTTCTACCTTCTTTATGTCTAGTACTCCCTACCCTCTTTCTTTCTGCTCCCCCTTCCCCTTGATTCCTCCCCCCAACCACCTCGGTAAGCAGCAGATATTTTGTTACGTTATACTGACATCTGTCAACAATCCCTCTATCAGAGTGTCCTGGCACCCAACACCCTGACATGTTTGCCATTGCTCACCGTTGATGTACTGTTGAACTAACACTGACTCCCCCCACCCCTTTGTGTTATCACCTGTTATTTTATCATTTATCATGTGACATACATGTGTCTGTGTTATCTCCTGCTGTTTTATCATTTATCATGTGACATACATGTGTCTGTGTTATCTCCTGCTGTTTTATCATTTATCATGTGACGTACATGTGTCTGTGTTATCTCCTGTTTTTTTATTTTATCATGTGACATTCATGTATCTATGTTATCTCATTTTTTTATCATTGGTCATGAACATAATGTGTCTGTGTTGTCGCCAGTTATTTTATCATTTATGCTGCGACATACATGCATTTTTATTATCTTCTGTTATTTTATTGTTTATCACATGAGATACGCATGTCTCTGTTTCATTCTGTTATTTTATTGTTTATCATATGACATGTAACTAACAACGATTGTTTGAAAGAAGCTAATGAAAGTAGATCTCTATATACAACAATAAGAAGGAGATAGACATTGTTCTTTGGCTACGTAATGAGAAGAGAGGCATTGGAAAACATCTTGACAACTGGAAAGAGAGGTGAAAAGAGGGGTAGAGGCAGACCAAGAGAGATGATACTGGATGGGCTGAAACGATGGCATAGAGGGATATCATCAAGAGAGCTGTTCCAGGGATCGTGATCTGTGGAGACGCATGAGCGCCTACGCCAATTGGCAGGGCACATGATGATATGACATACATGTGCCTGTTTTATCGTATGCAGAATGTTGGTTCCTCGCCTCTTGCTGTCCAGGAACTACATCTTCCAATACTGTTTTGACTAAACCACTACTAAATGATAAAATGACACGAGACAAAACAGGCACATGTATGTCATATCATCATGTGCCCTGCCAACTGGCGTAGGTGCTCATGCGTCTCCACAGATCACGATCCCTGGTTGCCTGGAACAGCTCTTTTGTTGATATGCCAGATCCGTAAAATGGATGTGCACACAACATTCAAGTTCTGGAACAAGGTTAAAGTTGAGAGGTGGATGAACAACCATGACTTTCTTGTAGGAGTTTACAGCCGGTGAACAGGAAGAAGAAGCAGAAGATTGACTACCTGTCTTGTAGCCTATGACCCGTGGGCTGGTGATCATGTCTTTCCTCATCAACCTTTTGTCTTTAGCACTGCCAGTCTTATAATCTGTGCCTTGTAGTGTTGGTTTTCAGGCCTCTCCACTTATTATCTTTAAGAACTTAACACGGGAAGGTGCCTGTGACCTCCACAGTGCGACTCTCTTATCAGTATGTGAAAGTCATGAAGTATAATGACATGTAGAACAGCCTGGCCTGAGGTAGAATGATGTATTCCTAAATTCTTCCAGGTTGACCCAGCTGTGAGTGGGTAACAGGTGCAGTCCCGGGAAGTAGAGGCAGCCTGCATGATGCTGACCACATCACCCATCTTGGGCCTTTGATGTATAAAATACAGGTCTAGCCCTACAGGCCTAAAGGCATGGGAAAGGGTCCTTTACCTTTTACTTTTTACTATTCCGAAATTGGGGCGGGGGAAAGGGGGGGGGGGGGGGGGGGGGGGGGGTTTGTCATCATTATATAGCAGGTCCTTTGCAGAATGTCGCTCTTATTACAGTCTGTCTTAAAAAAAATAATCATCTTCTGCCAGTTCATCTGCCTTGTGCACTTTCCTACCCAAGATTTCACTAATTTCATGCACCCATCTTTTTGCTGGTGAGCTCCGTCCCCCTTTACTCCATGAAATAGAGACCTCTGGCTGTGTTACCGCTGTATTTGTATAACTGTGCTCTCTGTGGTGCCCAGTCTGCTGTCAATCTTGTTACATGGCCAAACCATTTGATTTGCTGTTTACCTATAAAGTTCAGTATTGCTTCTGTGCCGACTTTCCTCTTATCATTGTTCCTAAGTCGATCTTTCATTGTTACACCTAGCATAGTACGTTACCATTTTATTTATGTTGTGATTATTTTCCTTCTATCTTCTAAAGACAGTGTCTATGTTTTACATTGATAGCGTAGCATTGGTAAGAATATTGTGTTGAACAGTATTCTTTTAGTGTTTATATTCATATACCTCTTGACAGTCTTGTTGCATGGCATGGAGGTGTGTCGGCACAAGAACTGATACATGCTACAACAGATCGTGGATTATGGAGATGCATGATCACCCACGCCAGTCGGCAAGGCACCTGATGATGATGATGATGATTCATATACTAATATTTTAAAATTGGTGCCATTTGGCTTACAATGTGATCAGCTGTTCGATGTTTATGAAAAGTTTGTTCCAGTTCAAGCTCGCTGTGTTAAAGTATCTGTCAATGTGTCCTAGCAGGCTGCTTGATTCGAGCCCCAGGAAGAGTCACTGCACCCTACCTGGGGGATGAATGGCAGAGAAAACAATCAAAAGGAGATATTAAAATATAGTTATAAAAAATAGAGCATGTGTGATATTGATTCCTTCCTTTCTGTGTCCTTGTCCACAGCGGAACATCCATGTGGATGAAGAGGATCTGCCGCCGCCACCACCAGAGGTGTCACGTGTTCGCTCAGTGTCGTCACCCTTGGTGGAGGAGAAACACTCTGTCAATGTCAACGTCACCTATGACAAGAAGCTACCTCAGGTGGTAAGTTGTGTGTCAGTGTGTGTCACTTGTCTGTCTCTTTGACACATTGATGTGTCATTTGTCTGTCTCTTCAAAGCATTGATGTGTCACTTGTCTGTCTCTTCAATGCATTGACGTGTCACTTGTCAGTCTCTTCGGCGCATGTATGTGTCACTTTTCTGTCTCGTTGACACATTGATGTGTCATCTGTCTCTTCAACAAAATAAAATGTCACTCCAATAGTTGAGTTTACCGACAGTGAAGGCTAATTAATACACTGTGACCCACGAGGTCACTAACAACACTAGACGATACAGGGTTACGAATATCAGCATTAGAGAGCAAGTTTGAATAAGACCAAATCTGGATTATATTGACTGACAAAGAATAAAATGATATGGCCGTAGAATGCAGCATATGAGGTTTTTTAGTAGAGTATCTGGGAGGAAGGCGAAAGGAAGACCAAGAGAAAGATAGATACATTGTGTAGCAGAAACCTGCTACAAGATGAACGAATCCATCACTCAAGCCAACCGAGAAGCTCAAGACAAATACAGGAAAGCACGGCACTGCGCTACAACCTGGTATCAGTGGGCGACATAAGGAAGAATGAAGAACGCTCTTTGTTATGGGAAGTAACTATGTTTAGACACAGTGGTTTTTGGTATTATACAGGTTGTCGCCCTTGAATACACATTTCTTGCAACGGGAGGGCATTTAGCTGTCATGTTAAAATACTAAGCTTGTGTTTCGAAGACCGGAGTTCGAACCTGTCTTTCCCTGTTGGGGAACAAAGATAAAAACTTGCACCTGCACAATCAGAGGGGACTGCAGTAGTTATACGGCCCAAAGTCCTCTATCTGTTTGTTTGTTTGTTTTAGTATCCAGAAGCCATGAGTTGTTAACCCTTAGGCTCGGTATTATGGATATCGCAACCTTTCGGCCTTGATTCCATTGTAAATACCGTGAATCTGGGAGAAAATGTGGCTTTTCTGACTACCCCCGGGAGTGAACACGGACCACAAGGAGTTCGTCACCCGCTCACCGCGCAATCCGGTTTAGCCAACTACGCTAGAGAGACGGGCAAGTCCTCTATCTAAATTCCCTAAAGATGGAGGCGAGGGGATTGACTTAATTGCACCAGGTTTTGTCCCACATCCCTCAGTCTCTTTCCGCAGAACAGCAAGCTACTTTCCGAGAGCGTCGCACAGAGCTTCTATAGCCAGAAAATCCGCTCTTTCATTCCCTCGTACTCCTGCAAATCCCGGATATTATATATATCCATTTGAGTCGCAGTAATGTTGGCGTACTGAAGCTTTGTAGCCAGTAGCCTTTATGAAAGCTATCTCGCAGTCTGCATCTCCCCATGTGCCATACAGTTTTATCTTCATTGACTTTGAAACAGGCCAGATCACATCCCTGTTGGCAGCAAACAGTTGACAGCGTTGGAGCTCATGCTCAGCATTTTTGGGTAGGGTCCAGTGGCACATCTCCGTTAATTTTTATGAGTATAGTAACACTAGATTGTGTGTGCACTGGAACCCACATGGGCATAGAAATGAAGGAAGAACAAAAACACATAGAGAAGGTAGCTAGAGAGTGGAGATAACAAGTTGGAAGGACATGGGGAGAGCTGCATACGATAGCGAAGGATAGAACGACTTGGAGTGAGTTGGTTGAGGGCCTTTGCTCCATTAGGGGTTAGAAAGGCAGAAAATGAAAACAGTAAAACTTCAATTAACCATAATTCGTTTAACCATCAGTTTCTATTATCTGTTATCTTAAAACAAAAGGTAGGACAAAGACACAGAAGGAGGTGATTTTTTTAGGCATGTCCCGGTCGTCCCAATTGTCCCGTTTTTTAAAACAAATCTAGAAATTAGCGGGAGAAGAGCATTCACTTATAGTTCTATGTGCAGACCTGATTAGATTTCTTCTTCTTCTCCACCTCCTCCTCCTCCTTCTTTTTCTTCTTCTTCTTCTTCTTCTTCTTCTTCTTCTTCTTCTTCTTCTTCTTCTTCTTCTTCTTCTTCTTCTTCTTCTTCTTCTTCTTCTTCACCGACTTTAAACTCTGGCTGAAAGTTCTGGTTGTTTATGCACTTCTGGACTGTAGTCCTGTTACAGAAACTGAGTGTTGCGTGCACATCTGTTTTACAGGTCTGACTTGCATGCAGACTGTTGGCTTCTTGCTTCTCAGGCAGATGTACTCCGAAGGAAACTCCCATTTAGTCATCTTTTACGACATGCTTTTGAGTAGGCAGTGGGTCTATTCTTGTTTTCCCCCACAACGGGGCCCTGGAACCCACACGGAGACAATATGTACGCATTATTCACATTTGAAGGATTTTTTTTTTTAGTTTTGTCCTAAGCCTGCAGTGAAACCGCGGTACTTCCTTTTCTTCTTTCTTCTACTCCTGGAATGCCTCGGGGCGTCAGGACAGGAAAAGATCTTTGGAACCGGCCCTTCTGTTCGCTTTGTGAATAGTACTTTTCAGTATCTTTGATATTTCTGCAGTCCATATTCTGCGTGGTCGACCTCTGGTTCTGTTACCTTTGTATCTGTATAACATTGCTCTCTGTGGGGCCCTGTCTGCTGCCAGACTTGTTACATAGCCAAACCATTTCATTTGTTGTCTGCCTCTAAAGTTACTGTGCATATGTATTACGAGATTTCTGTTTATCCGGTTATCTGTCACAGCCCAGATCTGGATAGTGACGGTTATTCGAAGTTTCACTGTATTAGAACAGCTCAGAGGACCACATATCAACGTTAAAATGTTTAAAACAGAAATACATCACAGATTACATTACATTTGTTTCGGGAATGCCCAAAATGAAGCTTCTGCATACACAACCCAGATATGTGCCCTCTCGCATGTGTATTGATGTTTCAGTGAGCATCGCTGAAATAAAATGATCTGGAGCTTACCCAGGGGAGTAAACAGAGGAGGAAAACCCAGGGGAATAAACAGGAGGAGGAAAGGAAAAGCCAGGGGAATAAACAGAGGAGGAAAGGAAAACCCAGGGGAAAGCACGCGGCCATCATTGTGTTGGCAGGCAGTGGTCGGGGAGCTGTTGGGCCTTTTGTTTATTGGGCGGGCCTCTATGACAGTTGTGTTTTAGCTTGGTTGGTTGTCTCTTTTATTTGTTCGATTCATCTTTACGTTGGCCAAGTTTTTGTGTGCATTAGTGTACTTCCCCCCCCCCCTCTCTCTCTCTCTCTCTCTCTCTCTCTCTCTCTCTCTCTCTCTCTCTCTCTCTCTCTCTCTCTCTCTCTCTCTCTCTCTCTCTCTCTCTCTCTCTCTCTCTCTCTCTCTCTCTCTCTCTCTCTCTCTCTCTCTCTCTCTCTCTCTCTCTCTCTCTCTCTCTCTCTCTCTCTCTCTCTCTCTCTCTCTCTCTCTCTCTCTCTCTCTCTCTCTCTCTCTGACATACATTATTGTTAACACGCAGGGAAGTATGGTCTGAAAGATGAGTGCTTGGAAAGGCCGGATGTAAGACAGACCTGCGTGCCCAATTTGTAACCCTTTAAATATAAAGTTGTGTTCGTTCATTCTCTCTCTTTCTCTGTTTGTCTTTCTGTCTGTCTGTCCCTCTATCTCTCTCTCTCTCTCTCTCTCTCTCTCTCTCTCTCTCTCTATCTATCTATATATATATATATATATATATATATATATATATATATATATATATATATATATATATATATATAGAGAGAGAGAGAGAGATAGATAGAGGGACATATATATATGTATGTCGGTACACATCGTTTTTCTTCCCCTCTCTGTCTCTCTTTTCTTTATCTATCCTTTCTCCGTTCACTGTCTTTCTATCTCTCCCTCTCTGTCTCTGCTCTCTGTCCATGTCTGTCTGTCGTTGTATGTCCAGCTCGTTTCTGCTCTCTCCCATTTCTGCCGCATCTCCTGAACCACATTCTCCTCTCTTTCTTTCACTTTCATTTCTGTTCTTCCCTATGTGGATTAGTCTAATTGTCCCTGTAGCAAGCATGTTGCCAAAGGCGACTAACTATGGGTTTTTCCAGGTGCATCTGCCCATGACCTACTTTAGATCTTAAGTAGGTCATGGTCTAGTGCAGAGGCGAGGAGCAAATAACCCAGATATGTAAAACAGACCTGGTCATCTCGGTACTCTGATTCAACTGCCACAAGTACCTTTGCCGATTGTTTCCGTGATAAACTGATTATAATATTACCCCGAAGATGGCATGGATGTCCTTCGCCAAATTTTTCTACCAGGTCACGTAGTTGGGTTATCATCAGAGACTCTTTATGTCTGCCAGCCTAGTCCGTACAGCATTGATGATGTCAGTTGTGTCTATGCTTCTTCCGTTGCCAACGGTACTGTGCTGAAGGTCAAGGTCAAGTCGGGAGATTTGAACCAGCGTCATTGCACACGGTTATAAACCATAAGTCCTCTGCCACCAGTACGGACAGCTGATAAGAAACTGTCCGCCTGTGTCGCCGTCCTCACGTAACTCTGTAGCTACAGCGACGCTCTTCCGTTTACTCCAGAGTGTCCACTCAGCCATTTTCTAGAGGCTGGGTGAACCCCAGGAACCGCCCGGTTTCGAACACCGACCGTGGCTGCAGCGAGTCACAGCTGGATTTGAAAGCGAGTCTCTTATCGACTGCGCTAACGCGGCCCCTACTGGGCTGATACTGTTGTCGTCAAAACGCAGAAGTCTGCAATCAGATGGGCTGTAGCTGACTTCGAACCCCGCTGTGTTGTGATTGTAAAACTGGGGTTACATCTCCCAAGCCACAGACGCCGACTTTTGAATTTTAGCCCTAGAAATAAATCTGTTCCCAGGGTCTTGTCTGTTTTGCTGCGATTATTGGGATTCCTTTCACAGCAGTCGGAGTTAACTGTAGCACTGAGAGCTAAGAACGATTTCATGTGTATGATCGGGGAGTCTCAACTCCCCCCACCCTCTCTTCTTTCGAGTAGTATTTCGACTCGTGTGATACCAGGGCCTTAGAAGAATTAAAGAATAGAAACACTTTACACTATCATTATGTCG